TTTGAATTTCCTCATCCCCAGTCTCAAGGGGAAGCCAGGGCAATGAGAACAGCCATTTGCCATCAGGAGTCACAGAAAGGGCCCCAGGGTGGGATGGTGGGGAGATAAGAACCATGAGAGAAGTTGGCATAAAGGAGTTACGGGACAAAGGGTCCAAGATAGGCAGAAAAGAAAATGTTGCCCATTGATGGGGAAGAAAGGAAGTCAGAGGGCTTAGACACTGAGAGGCACAGAACATCTCCATGTGCACTCTCATCTCTTGTAGTCAGCCACAGGTATCGACGGAGAGGGCCCTATGTCATCTGCACCCCTCAAGGATCTGGAGGTAAGAGGCTCTGGGCGGAGGGGCAGTGACCCTGCAGGCCAGCCCTCCAACCTCCTCCCACAGCAGGGACTGGGTGCCCCTCTGCCAGCTGAGACAGCCCACACACACCCCAGCCCTAATGATTGTTCTCTCTACCTCTCCCCCGACTCCTCCTCCACCTCCTCTTCTCTACATGCGCCTCAGAGCCCGTCCCAAGAACTAGCAGCTGTCCTGGACTCGAGGTCCGTCAAAATCAGTCGACTGAATAACATCATCAAATCTCTGGTAAGAGTCCAGTGGGGTCCCCTGATTCCACGCTGCCAATCCCGGGCTCCAGTTTCCCCTTGGGGCCCTGAAGAAAGGGGCTGGGGGTCCCTGGTGCCAAGGGCAAATAGGGAGCTGGGGCTCCCAGACCTCACCTGGAGGGACCCCAGAGCATGCACCATGGCTGTTCTTTTGCTGCCCTCTTTGCCGACTCTCTCCTCTCCACACACCCCTGCTCAAGTCCTTGCTACACACGCCCTGGGGTCGTTGCCTCTCGGGGAAGTGCGAGCCTGACTGGTTGTCAGGGGCGCCGTATTTCTGCTGTGACTCAGTCCCTAATTTGCTCTTTGATTCTGGACAAGCCACCTCTCCTTTTTGGGTTTGTGTTTCCAGAGGAGGTAGTGAGTATCAAAGGTGTCTGTTAGCTCTGAGAGTCCGAGATTTAAAGGCCACCTAGAATGGAAACCTCAGGGCCAAGAGCTGCTGTCTGTCCTTTTCCGTTAGCCTATATCTGCTGTGAAGAGCTGTACCTGGCCCATTCATGCGCAGTAAATGTTTATTGAATGAACGCACTTTTCTAAATCACAAGCGGGCAGAAGGGGGGCCTTTCTCCAACTCCATCTCTAGAGGATTGTGTTCCTGTCCTCTCAAGAGATTCCACATTCAGACTTTGAGTTCTGTGGCTGTGGGTGAAAACCAACAAAGACCTAAATCCTCTGTCCTTGGGAGCTTGAGGAGAGTTGACCAGTTCGTGTTCCCGTTGGGTCTGAGAACTTTGCCTTTAAAATCCATTCCTGGCCCCTGCCTACCGCTTCCTGGTCTGGAGAATAGAGTTGAGGGGCCACCCTCCCTCACCTTAATTTGACTCTCCCCACAGGAACAACAGAAGAAACAAGTGGAACATCAGCTGGAAGAAGTAATGTGATTTCTTTGTTTCCTCGCGACATGACTGCTGGGTTTGGGGGGCACTCAGATGTAGAGGCCCCAGTCTCGCCCACTCCCAGCCTGGGGAAGAAGGCTCACCCCTCAGATTCCACCCCATCCCCACAGGGTCCCTGATAACCTGGTCCCATGGGTGGGCCTGTCCTGGGGCATTGGTGGCATTCTGGGGGCATGTCTCTTGCTGTGCCATCTCTGCCTCCCCCTGGTAAGAGCTCTGTCTTCCTCTTCCTATAGGAGAAGAAGGCAAACAATGAGAAACAGAAAACTGAAAGGGAGCTAGAGGTGAGTGGAGGGTGTGAAGGTTTCTCCTGTCCTCCGGAGAATGTTTCTTTCCTTCTCTTCCAGCACTTGCTTGGCTTTTCTCCCAAAGGTTCAAATCCAGAGATTGAATAGACAGATAAAGGAACTAAATACAGACATGAATCACACGAAACGTTCTCTCAGATACTTTGAAGGTGGGAATCTGGGCACCCTGTCACCCTTCAACCTGGCACTTTGAAAGGTCTTTAGGGAGAGTCCTTTGGGCCCCATCTCAACTCTCATTACAGAAGAGTCCAAGGATCTGGCTGGCCGCCTGCAACAAACACTGCAGTGTATAGAAGAGTTAGAGCAGGCTCTGTCTGCTGTCCCCGCCACACAGGAGGAGAAGGAGATCAGTGTGAGTTCAACCACCTGCCCTGTCCCCTGGGAGCCCGGCTTCGCAGATGGAGGAGTGAGCCTAAAAGTCCCTTCTGCAGGATGGAGTGTCCTGCCCAGAAGGCGGCATGGCCATGTCTCGCTGCTTTTGTGTCTGGTTGTTACAGGCAGCCTGGGGCTGAGTCAGCTGCTGTGGGTGAGTTGGGGGGTGTGGTGGGGAGCACTGGACGTAGAGCTTGGAGGCCAAGTGCCTGCCCTGCCCTTACCTGGCTGTGGTCTTGGCCAAGTCCTAGGTGGAGTATTGGGTACTTATACTGTGAAGGTACAGAAGAGTATCCTTAGTATGCTACCATTTCTGTAGAGAGAGGAAACCTGTGTGTGTGTGTGTGTGGGTGTGTGTGTGTGTGTGTGTACATATTATGATAATATACAGAAAACATGTCTGCAAGGGTTCATAAAAAAAACTCAGGAGAGAGCCACAGGGCGACTGGGAGATACTTCCCTTCTGTACCTTCTGAGTTTTGGACTATACGAATGTGTCATCCTTTCAAAAAGTAAACAAAAGATTAATTGTCCCCTTCCTATCTGTGCCCCCATCCCCAGCAAGAAAAATGGGCTTAGAGAATGGGATAGACCTGGGTGTTCAAATCCCAACTCTGCCTAAGTGATGTTAGGCAAGCGCTTAACCTCAAATACTTCATGATTTTTCATCTACACAATAGACGTCATTATAGTAACTGTCTCCTATCGTGGTTGTGAGGATTAAATGGGATTGCTAGCATGGTACCTGGTGAAGCACTCCGTAAAGGTTCAGACAGTGCTAGTAATAACAGTAATAACAAGAGCAATATTATCTGATCTCTCTGGGCCTCTGTTAGCCAGCTGTAAATTCGATCTCTTTCCCTGTCCCTTCCAACTTTACTGAGTTCTTTTAAAAACCAG